GCCACAGGGTATCCGGGGGGGGGGGGGGGGAGGTGAGGGGTGGGAATTCGAACAGGAGTTCATACGAGAGATCTTGTCAAGCAATTGGATAGTGGGGTTCCAAAGAACCCAAATGCCACCAAAAGTCCCCAGGGAGTCTTTAGCGGCCTAGTTGCAGGGCGTCCAACCACACGTATCCCTAATAATAAGTAAATCTGAAGCCGGAAGTTTGGTTTCAAATAAGCTGAGAATGACATGAGAGTGTGAAAAGACCAAGGTACGGATGGCACTACACTTTGTATGACTACCAAGCCCCCTTATGTTCCAGCAAAGAATCCTCATTTGGAGGAGTTGAGATGGTGGGAACGTTTCCTTCTAGATCTACGCTTCTTGGGGCTTGCGGATAAGAAACAAGCAGAGTAGGATGCTTGGAGGACGAAGCGAGGGAATTATAATTAATATTAGAATGAAGATTAGCTAACTCTCTAAAACCTTTGGAGTTTTTTGGAGAAGCACTTACCTGGGAAGCACCATCATTTCCTCTGAGTGAATCGGCAATATCTACTAAATTTCCATCGACGAGGAGCCCCATTGTTTGGATCATTGTTTCCATGCAGGGTTCGCCCCTATCTATCCTTTCTAGTTTTGAGGTATCCACAACGATAGGTGAAAGGGTAGAGTTGAAGCCCTCCTTCGAAGCCTGTTGGAGCAATGATAACAGAGGGTTTGAAGAAGGTGAAGAGTCGGGAAGGGATGAACAGGAAGGTTGGGTTTCAGGAATAGAACCCGACTCGCAGGATGGGATGATCTGCAGGGGAGTTGGAGTAAGAGGAATAAGGTCCAATTGGGTTTGGGTGAGAAGAGTGGGCAGCCAGGTGAAAATATAATATAATGGGGGAACAAAAGGAAAGAGCTTACCTTGGGATGCCTGATATGCGTTGATGGCCAAACGCATATCAAGTGGAAGGGGGACCAGACTATCGACCTCCGAGTGCTGGAGACCCAAGCAAGGGGGGCTGGAGAGTGGGATAACAAAAGAATTAGAGGGGATGGATGTGGATGGGGAGGTTTCAGAAAAGACAAAGAGAGGGAGAGGGCCCTGGTTTGTCGAGGAAGAGGGGGAGGGGCAGCAAGGTAAATTAATGTAGGATGGGGTTGGGGTGCGTGTACGGGGAGGTGGGAAAGGGGAAGGGTAAGGAGAGGAGGCTGGTCGATGAGGTCTCACCCATCCACTAGAAAGCATTGGCCTTTGCTTTTTGTCTTTAGGGCACGTTGGGAGTGTTGGAAGGGATAGGGTGGTGAAGTTTTGGTTCAGGAAGAGGGAGAATAGGCGGTGAACTAATTGTGAGGGTGGGACCAAAGGATAAGGATAAAAGGAATGGGGGAGTCCGAAGGAGGAAAAGATATCTGGAAAGCTCGTCGTGATGGTAAGAGGGGGAGAAGAGGGACTCGAAAGTTGAGGGGAGCCATGAAGAGGCCCATTAAAGGGGATGACGGGGCAAACAAAGAGACAATCTAAATCCCAAGAGGTCCAAGAGAGCAAGGCAAGGTGGGGAGAGACGAGGAGTAATGAGGGGTATGTTCCAAGGGTCAGACTTCCTTTCCCGAGGTGATTTGATGGGAACGTAGGAGAGGGGTTGTAGAAGAGTTCTCATGAGGGGGAAGGGCGGTGAAGGAAGCTAAGGGGACGGAGAGGGAGGTTGGATGAGCATTTAAGGCACAAGGCATGTGTGGCATAGGAATGGTCACCTAGGGCAACATGTCCACCAGGATAGGAGGGGAAAGACCCGTGGCAAGGAGTTCAAAAGAGTCGTCATGCACCGCATTGTGTTGGTGAGAGAGCAAGCACACAAGGCAGCGCATGCTGGGGTTTGACGGGACCTCTCGAAGGTGAAAAGACCTGGGCCATGGTGTGCGTATGACAACGTCAAAAGAAACGAGAGGAAGTCGACGCCACAGGAGACACATTAATGGTAGAGAGGTGATTTGAAGAAGGCAGCGGCTAGGGAGACATGTTAGAGGATGAAGGATGGGGGAGGGAGATGAATTAGTTATATCGAGGTCGTTGAGGCGGCGAGAGAGACACATTGGAAGGAGGATGGGGAGGAATGGTGGGTGTTATTTCAAGGTGGCTCCCGAGGGATGGGAGGGATATCGGGCCTAGGAAAAGGTGTAGGGTGGTTTGGATCATGATGACCCAATGTGGAGTATGAAGACACCCAATTGGGAGTATGAAGACATGGAGTATGGAGGATGTGGAGAAGGGATCAAAGCCAACTGAGACTGCTTCTTGTGGACTACGGTGGTCCAACCATCAAGGTCCAGGGGAGAACTTTCATGGCGAGAGGCAGTAGCAAAACTTTGGATGGAAATTTTAATTGGAAATGAAAGACCATTATACTACAAAAATATTGTGGAGGGGATGGAATTCTCCTTGGGCGGTTCTACTAGAAGAATGATAGAACCTAATGGATACTTACCAAAAGTTTTCCAGTGAACGGAAATGAAGACCCCGTAGGAGTTTCTATCGCTTTGAAGACCGATTGTGACCAGAGATGCATCGGGATCCCCTCTACCCAAATCCAGATATTGGTCAAGCGCGAGGCGTCCAGAGACTCCTTCCATTTCTTTAGTAAGCATCGTCCTCCTCTGAAAGATAGCTTATCAACAACATTAGGAGTCTCGAAGTCATCCGACATTAACAAGAGATATACGCCATTATGAAGGAGCCGCAGGAGATCTGCTTGTTCTTGAAAACGTTCTGAAACCACCTGAAAATACCTCTAAAGTCGTTGCTCTGTTGGGAGAAGGTCGCTACACAGGAGTTGAGTAGGGAGGACAACCGCTCCTGAATCTCACCAGACCTAGGGAAAGAAATGCAAGGTGCTCCATTCAGGTTGAATGTCTAAGGGCAAGGAGGGCGGAAGTGGACCTTCTCTTGAAGAGTGGGTTCTTTTGGTGTAGTTGAAACGATATGGTTACTGGTCGCAACAGCATCTACATAAGATTTTCCAACTACGGCCTAGCTAGAAGAAGGTATGGCACTGGGGTGTTTGGGGGGTTGAATGTGGGTTGGGAAAATCTAGGAACTGACAATAGTGGTGATACAAAGGTAGAGTTGGAACCTGGGCCTCCTTAACATACCAAGTTTCATGAGGCTCAATGGTAATATGCACTGATGAAGGGTTTCTCATAGCAAAGCATCTGAAGCTTTTTTACCTCTAGTTTTGGGAAGTTGTTTGCGATGAGCATGGCATCGATCCCACTGGTCAATACACTAGAACCTCGGACCTTCAACTTCAAGGTATTAATGCCTATTAATAACTGGATTTTCCATCGAAAGAAATTAAGACTTAGTTGATTTCTGGCTAAACAGAGCACATTTTGATGAACACAACCAGATTTCAACACAGAGTAGAGTTCATAGCAGCTAAAAAAAGAACTAGCAAAATGGATATTTGCCTAAGAAGAACAATTTCGGCCCGACAAGACCTATTTTTTTAGCAAACAAGAGAAATTTCTGGCGAAGAAATAAGAGACTACAGAATTCCCGACCGCATTATTTTCTTTCCTTTAAGCAACAACTTCATAGCAAATGGAAAGAATGCATCAAGTTGCACTATACTAGAAGAGTAAAAAAGACTCACAATTTAACTGTTAAAGAACAATAATCAGAAGGTAACGCCATAAACCCCATTTGGAGAGAATCCAAATTGACTCCACCATGGCTAATACATTGACCTAAACAGTAACCTCTCGATCTCCTAAAAGTGTGTTAGAATGAGATATGCAAGTCGCTGCTAGCATCATGGATCTCTTTCCATTAGGAGTGCAAGTCCCTATGGTAAAAGAGTCTCTTTAAGATTCCTTGTAATAATTTTTTGCTTGACACAGGATGTTATACACAGTAAAAATAAGAAATCCAATGTGTCACAATGTGTGCGAAAATCATTTTCATAATTATCCAGCTTGACTTTTGTACTTGAATCAAAGATCATGCTTTGTTTCATTGCATGCATGCTTTGCAATGATAAAAGTGTCATTCCTTGCCTATAATATGCAGATTGCAGGTGTCAAGAAGCGATTTGAGTGGTTACTGGTACTATAAACAAACGTATAAATAATGCAAAGACCGCAAAATGTTCTAATTTACTTAATTATGCGAAATTAATCTTGATTCACGAGTTAGCTATCTCCTCAAAAGCTAGAAATAAGTTTTGTACTAAATATTGTAAAAAAACCCAGTAACTAGATGAATACCACTCCAAAAATTCTCCATCACTTCAACAGGCCATGGGAAAATTTTCATATCAGTTAGATTGAAATCTTGTGAAACCACATGTGAAACAAATAGCAATAAGATAAAGGTGAATGCAGCATGACAATTTCAAATGGTCAGTGCAATAAAGATGGTTATTCACATTCAAGATGTAGCGCAATGAAAACACAAACAATATATGTTCCACAACTTAAATAGGAAAATAATGGCTCCGAAAATACTTATATTATGAAATGTTACACATGACAATCACTAGTATGAAATTTCAATCGTGGGTTAGCAAGTGATCGAAACAGGATGTGCTTATAAATAAGCATATCAACTTAACTGATAGCTCCAAATAACCATGTTATCAAGGTTAAGGAAGCTGCTGAGATTTGAATTTCACTGAACAGCATGAAAACTACAAGTTCATCCATTATTACAAAGAAAAAGTAAGAAAGCCTATCCTTTCACTATAGGATCAGCAACCAGTAATTCAAGGAGAAGGATTATTTAATAAACAAGAAGAATTTTTTGTTGGAATGGAAGAAACATTAAATATTCAAACCCAAAGAAACATTTATTGTGTCAAGAATTTAGGATTGCTCGTCTTTCACTTAATTATATTTCAGAAAAGGGCAAAAAAAATACCTCCAAGCCAGAAGAGGAAAGATTAAACTCATCATCTCATTAAACGAAAAAGTGAGAAGTAAAAATTTATCTAGTGATTCAAACATTGACAAAAAGAAACAGTGAGTACCTTTGAACAGTAACAGCAGCACTCACTTCTAGCGGATGATGCTTGCGGATAATACTTTCAACTGAAAAAGTAAGAGAGAGAAAGAGAGAGAGAATTGATGTAAAAGCTTCAAAAAGATTTCAGTAATATCGACAAATTGTTAAAGTTTCAGTGTTGCCGGCCTCAATTTTTCCACAAATAAATGGTGACTGCGCATTCGATGGCGAATGAGCTCCATGAAAATAGAGAAAGAGAGAAAGTGCAGGCGTATGAGACAGAGAAAGAGAGCGAGGGTAGATCACAAGGGGAGAGAGAATGTTCCCACCATAAGCGGCAACATATACAGGGAAGAGTCGCTCGTATTATTTTTCTCTGGTTGTCATCGCTCGATGAGCCGCTTTGACACCTTGTTTAGTTAATGAAAAAAACACAAAAAAAACAAAACAAACCAAAAAAACTTACCTCAATCTAACTTTTATTTTTTCACTTTTTTTATCAAATAGACTTTCTATGCAAAATAAACCAAACATACGGAAATGTCCTTCTCATTCACGAAAATCTCTTTTGGACCCAGTAGCACATTGCCAGATCACACCATCGCATTGTCGGATCACGTTTTAGAGACACTTAAGCGCCGGACCGCTCTAAGATAACTATCAAACCGAAACTAAGTAACCAAATACTATCGGACCGTCATTTACATAATGTCGAAACCCTAGAATCAGACTGTCTGCTAGACAGTAAACATTTACTGCTGGACCACCCTTTGTAATTACTAGACCGCCTTTTAATAAGTATTCTACTGTTGGACCGCATGTGCCGAAGCCCTACTATAATGGCCATAGCCCTGCTATATTGGGGTAAAAGAGATGAAGCATGGGTAAGATAAAAGTAAGAAGGAATAGTTTAGGTTTTTTTTGTTTTTTTATGTTGGGAGTCTTCGCATAACAATGTCTGATAGAGGGAAAAAGTGAAAACAAAACACTACATTGAGTGTAAAGTGCATAGAACATGTAATCAGGTGGTTTTTTGTAATTTCTTTTACTTTTTGATGGTCATCTCTTGGGACCACCAAAAGATATTAAAAATAGTAGAAAACACCGGATTATTTTTCCCGCTTTCATTTATAGGTACCACCACAAGCCATTGAAAATACTAGAAACCACTAGTTTAAGGGTGAGTCACAAAATTTGTGAATTTTTTGAAAAAAATTTATGTTGTTTTTCAATGACATTTTTACAACCATTTATTTTAAATTTTATGTGGGTAAGAATATTTATGGCCTCTATATACAAAAAATGCATAATCACATTCCTATGTTTTTAATAAATTTAGACAACACAGTGAAATGAAATAAATCATCAAATTAGTAGGGCCACTACTGTCTTGAGTGAAAAATTGTAGAAATCAAAGGGCGGCATTTTGATTATTGTATAGAAAAAATTTATATAAGATTGCAACCTTAAAGTGTAGAATCACATATGCGCCTCAAAAATCTATTAGAAATGTTATTTTAATGTTAAAAAAACACTCTAATCGATCATCTCGACATTGAGATGTATGAATATGAAAAAAAAAAAATTTGAGTCTTAGAAATAATGCATCTTGCAATACATTATCTAGACCGTCAATTTTCAAGATTTTAATATTTTACAGATTTACTTCATTTTAATCATTTTTTTGAATTTAAAATTTTTTAATAAAATATGAAAATAGGTTTTAAGATAATATTAAAAAAATTTTATAATTAAATTACATGTCACGATAAAATTTTAAGATGCGTCTTAATTAGATTGTTTAAGGTTGAAACCTTATAAAAACCGCACCCTTATTGTATTTCTATCTGTATTATTAAGATAAAAAAAAAGAGAAAGGGTTTAGAGTTGAAGGAGGGAGGGGCACAAATAGCAGCAAGGTCGTGGTGAGGACACGTATTTCGCAAGCAACGTGGCCGCTACTCAAGCCGCCTCCTAAACAAAAGTGATCTACAATGCATATAGTTAAAAAAAACTTGTAATATTTCATAAATATAATAATATATTTGCTTTTGGTTAAACGTTTTTTTTGTTAACTGCGTATCGTGCTCGGTAGTATCAGTTTCTCTTTGAAACGAAAATAAGAGCTTGTGCATAAGGAAAATTAGATGTTTAGTAGTACTACCCTCACGGACGAGGTTTGAAGTAGATCTACAAAAGGTCCTGTTACCATTAATGATTTATTTATTTATTTATGGTGATGATTTATTTATTTATTTATTTATGATGTGGGATGATTATATCTATGCTTTTATTTCTCAATTAATGTTAAATTGATGTTATTTTATTGATTGGATGATTTTTTATATGAAAAAGATATTTGTTGATACCGAAATCTGTTTTTAATCAATATAGAGTAATTTTATTCCGATTGGAAGGTTAATGTGTAGTGAGAGAGAAATTTGTTATCCTAATCGATATTTGTATTTAACGATTGGAGGACAATTTTTGTGATGCTTGTATTATAGTGATTGGATGGTAATTTTTGCAGCAAGGGAGTGAAGTATGTTTTCAATTGAGGTTTGAGGAAGCATACTGATTGGAAAGACATGTCAGTTTTATAAAATGTGGTTTTATGAGTGTGCAATGCATTTAAGATTTGTATTCCAATCTGGCTGTATCATGCGAGTGTACTCGTCATGATCTGTTTAGACCAATGGTTTAAAAATCGGATCGGTGACCCTGATCGGGCTTTTCAAAAACCGATCCGG